ACACAAAATGACACATATGTTCACATATTATTGAAAACAAAAATATAAGGGATGTTAACATTTATATTGAAATAATATATTTCTTGACATTTCACTCATTTCTTGACATTTGACGTGTAGTTCTCGACATTAAATGTCTGCTAATCTGGACACTTGACAGTACATTTGTATAGAACGACATTTCAACTAAAGTATAGGATTTCTCCACATTTCATTAGAACATTGACATCTCCTACTCCACTATATGAGATAATAAAGTTATAAACTATTTTCAACCACCGGTTTATATCCACAAAATATTACATACCACCATATAAATAAAAATATGCAAACCACTGTCTAAACCAAAATATATTTTCCGTACCACGACATAAACCAAAATACATATTGAAAAACCACCATATAAATCAACATAGGTAAACCTCTAAATTCTACGCATCCCTCTTACCCCTCTTGCGATCAGATCGTGTGTATGGCGTCTTTGTATTTACACTAGCCTTCTTCAGCCTAAACGATTGAGGTCTACGTGTAGGTGGATCAGCTGCCATCGAAGGTCCAGAAACGATGCTATCATGAACCAGTTGATCATCAATGGTCACACCAACTGTCGGTACAACGGCTGGTGCCTCTTTCACAATATCACAAACAACATATACTGACCCAAGTACTCCAACCCCACCTCCTGACGTTATGGACACATCAGGGATATTGCAAACAATTGGTTCAGTTGCCTCTCCGACATCCTGTCTGTCTGCAAAAATATTGGGAGTGAAAACATCATGTCGGGGCTCGTCTCCACTGCGATCGTCATGACCAAATCCACCATACTCAGTACCAACATTGTGTTGTCCAATTTCTGTAGCAACTTCATCAAACCTTCGTCGAAGAACATTCATCTCATCAGTGACATGATTTCTCAAACCACACACATGACCTCCCAGATCATTTTGGAGACTAGCGAATCTTGTGTTTATTTCTTTCCTCAAATCCCCCATCTTGCTCTCAAATGCCTCCCGTTGCTCATTCAAGATAACTCTTATCTCATTTAAAGACACATGTCTTTCAACGATGGGATCCCCATGCTCTTCTTCTCTGCCTTCAACCAGATGCAAACCTCGATGACGATGTCCACCTTTGTTGCCTCTCTGGGATTTATTTTGTCGATGGTTGTTGTCATCGTTCCGTATGATATCATCGTCAACTGGACAAGCTTGTATTTCTATTGATTGAGCAACAAGATCATCTAAAATGGGGTCGGCTGCGTCTTCCAATGGAACTAGATCGATGAAGTACGGCTGTAATTCTTCTGCAGCAGTTGTTCGCAGCGTAGCCCACAAGTGCACTTACAGGAGAAGAAAAATAGGCGAAATGAAAAAATATATATTGCGGAGTGTAAGGCAATTAAGTATGTAAATCGCATACATTTGTCTTCTCAAAAAAATCTGAATATGTTCGGGAATGAGGTTGTTTCATGCCAGACCACCGCAATATCCTCGGGACATCGTCACAAGTCTTACTCGAGAATCGAGCTCCCAACTCCGAAATTACCTCGTACGTCCAAATCTGCATGACATTTGTAACAGTAATAACCATATTTGGAGATAAATAACAATGAGCGATGAGAAGAACTGAAATGAACCAAAATAGATGTATACCTGGACAGCAAGAGGGAATCCGTACAATGTGTAAGTCATCCTATCACAATCATTCACTTTTACCATGTCCGCCTTTCTTCCCCATCCACGTAGTAGTGATTTGATGAGAAGTTGAAAACATACTATCCCCCATGGGTAGGCATTGAAAAAATCCAAGTCGTCAACGATGGAAAGAGTTGTCGAATTTATTCCTACATTTCGATCTCTTGAATTAAATACCCCTTCAATAATTAGTGCCAACCCAAGCTTGTAACGATCGTTACGGTTGGCACATTTCAAAAAAGCTTTCTCCAGGTCGCTACACGTTATCCTGTCCATATTAGCAAACATTTTATCTTGTAGACGGGTTTTCTCTAGGATTTTGTCAACTTCGGCACCTTTAGGCACTGGACTGCACTTCAAGCCAGTAATTAGTGCGAACTCAGGTAGTCCAAATCGTGCAAACCTTTGGTTCACCTTGAACCAAGCCTCAAACCGCTTTCGGCATACCACCGATCTGTTTACCATTTCATGAATTAATTGAGCAGATAGTTTCAGCTCCGGTAACCTTGCAACATATCCTATACAACTGTCCTCCAACTGATGCTTTTGCTGTGGATCCAATTTGTTGAGGACAACTGATATATATTTTGTATTGCTCACTTGCGACACATGGGCCGGAACACGTTCTTCCTCCGGAATATTATATCGGTGTGTCATACTCATCTACAAATGAAAACAATACTTTAACAAATACTATGAGAATGTACAAATGAAATCAAATATAACATTCTTGTTAAAATGCAGTGCAAGAAAAATAATTTTTACAATACAATGGTTTGATAAAATATCATATCTAAACTAAGTTGTTTAATTGTTAAAATTAAAACAAACCTGACTTCTGATCTGCAGCTATCATGTAACCATTTTATAGTTGATCACCATTCAAACAGTTCAAAAGTATATACACAATTTTCTACAATTTCATTAAGTTAATTGCCTAATTTGGATATGCAAATAAGTCGAAAATACAATATTCTTTAACAAAATAAATAACAACAACATAGCCTTGTATTAAATAAATTTAGAGCCAACTACAACAGACCATACGCAAAATCAAGTATACATGTCGTAAGATTTGACAAAGTTTTCTATCTGTTATCAACCTATCACAATCTTCCTCCATAAGAAACCATCAATATACAAATGCAATCCTCAACAAGATGCAGAACAAATTTGATGCGAAAATGAAGCCATTTAGTTGCTGATAAGCATTCAAACAGTCTTACGAGTGTATAATAGCAACACAATCTGTGTCATTTCATCATGTTTATTGCCTAACTTAGATGCGAAATATGCCTCAAATGGAGTATTCTTCACTTTGTACTAGTGTTATTTATCATCCAGCAGCATCAAATTTAGTTCACATATAGATTATATCTCAAAAGCAAAAATGCAATAACAGGGACAACAGAAAGTACAATCATTTTCCTGATTTCTTTAAACACTTTTCCTCTTCAACCTTTTTTACAGTATCTCACATGTACCAATTTTTATCTCAAATTGTATCAACAGTTAGTATTTGCTCGCCCAATAGAATAGAGACACTCAGTGACCTTGACATCAATTTATGTTAAACTAGCCAAATCTTAGGATTTAGGAAGAGGGGAGACTTGGGGAAGTGAAAAAAATAACGAAATAAAAAAAAATAACGAAATAAACTTATTCAATAACACTGGACTCTGAAGTGTGGTGGGCAAACGGCACCTGGGAAAATAAGAGAGAAATGGACAGGCTCGTTGTCTGTGAGTTGGGTCAGAGTGAAGATTGAGAGACTGAGAGTGAGAGTTAAGAGGACTTAGTTTAGGGCTTCTTTTATTTTTTCATTCCCCCGCCTTCATTTCTTTTTTTTTTTTTTTTTATTCGGGTCGAGTTATATCAGGTTTTCCATTTTTTACCCATAACTCGATCCAACTCGACCCGCACCTACTTGACCCATAACCCGACCCACACCTATCCAACCCAGGCATTTAATGCTGATTGACATTTCTACGTTGATTAACATGAATAGTGATATGGAATTTTTTGAATTCTTGTGTGAAAATAATATTTCTAACAGGGGTATTTTCGTCTACATAATTCGAAAATGGACATTGACAAAATTGTGGACATTTTGGCAAATGACTCGCTGAAAATGGACATTACGTGAAATTTCCTCAATTTTTTAAATATGGTGCAGTGTCGTATTTGATATGGGCATAGCAGATGTGGACATATAGGATAATCATATGTTGGTTTAATGTCCGCACCATCATAAAACATTAAATAAATTGACGACAATTTATAAATAGCCAAATTTACAAGCAAATCAAAGTTTCATAACTTGCAGCAACTTGAATGAGATTGACAAGACCTATAAGCAAATCGAAGTTAAATTTACTAATTGCGCCAAATTGAATATGAGTGACCTAGAATGCACATTAACTCAAAATTGGATCACCTACAATACATTTAACCCAATAAACTACGATTATCTTCCCTTTCGTCAGTTACAGATGGAAGTGATCAAGGGCCGGGATGGCTGAGAAAGGGCAAGCGATCTCTACAAATATTTCAGGTCCGAGGGATGAGTCACACATTGGGGGGTATACGCCTCAATACTAACACAACCGTGGTGCATGTTATTCTTTCACCAAGTTTTAATGAAAATTGTTTATTGATAAATTTGTGACCAACTTTCCTCATGGTCAGGTCCTCGTTAATACGACACCGTCTCTCATCTTTGGCCCCACTCGAACTAAGACACTACCTGCATACAGTCGTTGTATAGCACAAGTCAGCGTCACATAATAAACACACCATCTGACCTTGAAATTACTCCTCAACGGTCTCTACCCAAATTAAAAACTCAAAGCAGATGGAGACAGAATTTACATTTTTATCATTCCATTTTTTATTTTTTATTTTTTTTTTAATCATTGCATGCACGGGGTAACCCAACGGGGTAGGGTGTCATATCTTTTAGTTTATCTGTATATGTTACTACTACCCTAAATTTCAAGCAGGGGTGGAGTCAACACTTCATGAGCAACTACGATCATACATGCTACTTTGTCAAAAGAAATTTTTCCTTATATTGGATGATCATTCAAGCGGCCACCTATGCTCACTTGAATTCGCATGTGTTCACATGAATTCTTAGATCCGTCACTGATTTAAAGGGGACCCATTCGACAAACCTTCCTATCTTTTATATTTTTGGGACTCTTCCGCAACATATTGAAAGGACCCATTTCAAACTCGACTCAATCAAGACGGCTGTTTGCACGGCCTTATCGATTCATTCTTACCAAATCCCTGTCCCCATTTAGAGTGTTCATTCTCCAAAAACATCATCAAAACAAACAGCCATGTAATGATCTCTATTGGAATTGAAAAAATATTATTGGAATTGAAAAAATATCCTTTAGAAGGTATTTGATGGGAATTAAAATTAAATTTTTTAGTAGATTGTGATAAAAAAATTTGAAATATGTGATTAAAAACTTACGAAACTCATGAAAAATTTAATTAATATTAATTATTTAACTTTAACTTAGATAAAAATTAAATTTTAATCCAAACCAAACAGAAAATAAGATTTTACTTTAGATCACATTGAACGGTCAAACTACGTACACATTATTGACACATCATAATTCAAAAACCATTAACATTTAATGGGGAACAAATGGACCATCCACCGTAGTTCACCACTCTAACCCACTAAAAATTCACCACTTAAACCTCACATTACTGAGCTTATCATGCGGTAGTATAAATTTTATTTCTTTTACTGCTTAGTAATAAAATTGATAATAAAGAACAGAGTGACGTAATAGAACCGTAGTAAGGGGCAAAATCGTCTTCAGCATGGTGGCAGGTAATCGGCGGTGAGGTTAAGTCAAAAGTCAACGGTCACGGCGATTAATTGTTAGGATTGTACCTCCCGAAATCGGCGAGTTTACGGGACCGATTCTTGCCAAGCGACGCTGCAGTGGACAGATATGGCTTCGTCGGAACCCTAATCTCTTTGCTTGCGCCGGCCACAACCATCTCCGGTGGCAATCCCATGTGATTCCAGTGCCGGTTTGGGCTGGCGCGGACCAATGGACTCAAACAAAACGCCAAGTGAGTGACATTTTTGCTATGCCCTTGCCTTCCTCCGCCACGCCGTATCACCGGTGTCTTCCGCGGAGTTTGCTTCCACCCTTGAGAAGACTCCGACGAATAACCGCTCGATCCACCATTGCAATGCTCATCCTCCTCGTCGGAATATCTCACAGGGGACATTCCTCGGTCGAGATTCCGGCAGGTTCTCCGTTGAGCACAGATTGTATTTTCATCAAGTGAAAACGTCTGAATTTGCTTTTTCCTCCGGCCGGGAATAATGTCAGAAAACCACAAAGGAGAAGCATTACAAGAATCCCGAGAATTCAGCTGACAGGAAACTGAAGAATCCGGATTCTGACCCGAATCCAAGTCTGGTTTTCCCGTTTTGGACCTAAATAGACCCGAAAAAAGAGAAGAAATTCTTCCTCCGGCACACTTCATCTTGACGCTACTATCAACGGCTGATATATACCCAGTTGGGCCCACCTGGGGAGTACTGTAGAATCGCTGATCGTGACCGTTGAGGTGCCACCTGGAGGCTGCGGCAGTTGCAGAATTCCGGTGGGAAATATACGGCGAAGCTGACTGGGGAAAAGCAGGAGGGGGTTGTTCTGCATCAAATTCCAATCGATCTTCTCGGGATCGTGCCTGGGCCTGTTTCTGAGCCAAGGCTTGCTCCTGTGCCGCTATAACGGAGAACAGCCGTTCCCGGAGGCAGGAGGCGCAGACGCCGACGCTGCTACTGAGGTCCGCAGGATGCTTCTTGCACCTCATTTACTGCTATGGAAGATTAAACACTTCCCCGTATTTGTCTATATATGTATAGATTCTATATTTTCATGTATATATATAAACAATAATTTCATGAAAATGGAATGACGGGATGAAGCATTCTCTGTGGCGGGTGTTTTGCTGTGTGCTCGTGTGTGTCGGGATCTGATGAGGATTACTGAGGAGAGGCTCTGTCTTCTTCCTCCCGCTTTTTAGAGAGAGAGAGAGAGAGAGAAGGAGCGCCAATTAGTTGGGACCGAGGCTTATGGAAGGATTTTGTACAGAAAAAAGAAAAAGGAAAATATATTCCTTGTTTACGATTTAAGTGAGAAAAACCATTTCAAGAAAAAAGAAGACTGGGAAAGGAATACTTCTACATTTAGTCTAGTTGTTAAGATTTGGGGTCTATCTTAATAAGGTCAACCTTATTAAGAGAAATGACTCAAGATCTTTTTAAATTGGTCTATATTTCGATATTTAACCGATGTGAGATTTATTCCCTTAACATGCCCCCACAAAATGGTGGCTCTTTTTTTAATAGATCAATCTTGAAATTCATGTACTCATTTTTGAAACTTAATCGGATCGAATAGCTCGTTGGAACTTACTGAGTTATGATACTATGTTAAGATTTGGGGTCCATCTTAATAAGGTCAATCTTATTAAGAGGAGTGTTTCAATCCTTTATATATTGGTCATTATTTCAGTATTTTACTGATGTAGAATTATATTCCCTTAACATGCCCCATAAGATGTTGACTCGTTTGAGCAGATCAATCTTTAAATTTGTGTGCTCATTTTCAGAGACTTAATCAGATCGGATCGCTCGTTGAAGGTTAATGGGTTCTGATATCATATTAAGACTTGAGGTCCATCTTAATAAGGTCAACCTTCCCATATCAATAAAATATCGAAATAATGACCAATTTATAAAGGATTGGGACACTCCTCTTAATAAGGTTGACCTTATTAAGATGGAGCCCTAGTCTTAACATAGTATCAGAGCCCAGTAAGTTTCAACGAGCTATTCGATCCGATTAAATCTAAAAAATGAGCACACGAATTTCAAGATTGATCTGCTAAAAAAAAGCCACCATCTTGCAGGGCATGTTAAAGGAATAAATCTCACATCGGTTAAATACCGAAATATAGACCAACTTAAAAAGATCTTGGGCTACTCTGTTAAGGGATGTGTTATCCCACATCGATTTAATATCGAAATAAATACTAATTTATAAAGATATTAGGCTTCTCCTCTTAAAAAGGTTGATATTATTAAGATGGACTCCAAACTTTAATACTACCAACGTCGAGCCAATGATATGGCGTGAAATAAGCAAATTCCTCTTCATTAAATTGATCTCTCTAAAAATAAAATAAAAGGGGTTGAACTCTAACTTTGAGGGCTCCCACGACCCTGTCCCTGAAGCATTGCGAGGAAGGTAAATCGCGGATGTGTCCCAACAAGCCAGGAAACAAGAGTTTGTATGTATACTGTGCCCATAAAGAGTCAAATTTCATATCTCTATGATCTATGTGACATTGCTACATAAGACAATTACTATTTGTTTCGCATTACTTAGATATAGAGGATTTTATATTTTTAATCCTTTGGAGCAATTAAAAGGTCAAATTTAAAAATTATTTTAACTATACGCTATCATTCGAATATCACATTCTCTAAAACTTTGGCTAAGAATTCCAATTGATGCAAATTCTAGCAAGGCTGACTTCTTAAGAGTCAATCCAGCCACTACGAGAAAATCGGACACCACCACCAAGTTGTAGAAAATTTCCACGACTACGAAATGTGAGATTGAACAACGATATTGGAGGTGTGTGCAGAGATGACAATGGTTTGGCCATGGTTGCCTTTGTGGAATCAATATTGGAATTTGATCTCACCTTTTTGTTGTTGAGTGATTTTTGCGATTTGGGAGAAATCGAAGTTTTTTTGAGTGATTTATGCGTAGCATGCTCTATCAAGATGGGACAAGCATGGCAGAATCCCCATCCTTCATTGATTGTTTTGTTTCGGCTTAAGTAATTGAATAAAGATCATATTGGCTTCAAAGTGAAAATGTCAACTTTTTCATCTAGGTGCTTCAAAAATATGTAAGATAAATAAAAGTATTGCTCTTTAACGTTCAAATCAATATAGATAAGTGAAAAATTGAGTGTTATCTTGGTATAAATATATTGATATGTTTTATATTACCACAACTGGATCCTTTTTATAGTTGAAACCCCATAATCAAGAGTTCGTCTCTACAAGTGTAAAAGGGAGTTTTATCCTCTTCGATTGGCCTTTACTTGGTCGATTGTGATCTTGTTGAGAGTTCTTACATTTTAATCGCCACCAAAGGTGAATTGGGGGTCTTTGATAAAATGTTCAAATGACCTTTTTTTTGAAAATAACAATAATAATACATATAGTAGAGCAAATTATCGCCAAAGCAAATTTCGTCGATAATCATCGATGGTATAATTATTGATTGCTCTAATATAAATTAATATATATTCGCGATTCAAATGAAATTACTAGCACCGACATCGTTGATGATCATCAATTCACCTTCATTAGATATTGCTGATGTCAATGTTGTCGATGATATTTTCGAGAATCATTAATGGTGCTTTACCTATAGTAAGTCGTCTCAGTCACTAATCAAAGTTCGTTCTTTCTACATATTTCATTTTTTATAAGTTATTGACGAGTAAATTATAGTATATTTTTATCTTTTCTTATACAATAAAGCTACTTGGCCAGGACTAGGCCCTAGCCATCAAGCAAAACTCTTTCTTATATTAATACAGTCTGATAAATTAATTTTCTATTTGTTATTTGATCCGATTGAATTTTTTATTAATATTTTTTGACTAGTAATAATATATTCAATAAAAATATCGTCTCGTGAGTAATAAATATTAAATTGAATATTACTAATCCGTTATCAAATTTGAGTGTAAAATTAACAAAACAGATTTATGTGTTTATGTCTAAATTATCAACTAGTTATCTAAGATCATTTTGAATTAAATAAGAGATGTATGTTTTGGACTATGTATCCTCCTATTATTAAGTTTAGATCTATGTGATGTAGTATGATTAAGTGTGATAAATCGAACTGAATCAGTGAGAATCTTGAAAAATGGAACCATTGATTCCGTATCTAACTATATAATAGAATCGAAATCGTACTGATTGGTTCTAATTCGGTTCGATCCGATTTTGATTCTTTATATTACAAATTTATAAAAATAAAGTATAAAATGCGTGTTAGATTAATAATAGACTAAAAAAGAGTTGAAATCACTTATGATTCTCATAATCTAATAATATAAAAATCATTTAAATAGTGCAACAAACAAAAATACATTCCAAGGCTAAAGATTATAAGGGCATAAAAAGGGTAAACTATTAAACACAATATAAAGTTTAAAGTCTAGACCAAAAATTATTTAAAAAAAAAAATCATGGAACAATTTACGTTAAAAATGATTCTAATATTCTACTAGTTCTTACAAAAAAAATTGAACTAAAAATACACTTCTTTCCTAATGGGATTGCAATAAAACTATGAATTTTTTGTGAAGTACTTTATTTAGATTTAAAAGTTGACCCATTAGGTTTTGCTATGAAAGAAAGAAGAAGAAAGGTATACAAGTGAAATTTTGTCGTAATATAATTTTAGGGTTTAATGTTCAAGTATCTGGTACAAATTTGTGCAATACACTAGCAAAAAGA